CATGTGAGGAAGAGTCAAATTCCAGGCCATGTATCAGCAAATTTCAAAAAGCTATCGAAAACTGTTTCACTTCTGAGACACAAAATCTCGTAGAGGAATATTCATGCCCATGCACACTAGAAATGTGTATCACAAACAGGGCCGCACATTACGGGGTGTGTGAAGGGGTGTGACACCCCATAATTTTGAGAAATAGTCAAAAAAGGCGGTGCCAAATGAACCATTTGTCGGTCCCAATCGTCCGGTGCAAACATTACGCAAAATTGTTTTTTCCGTGAGATTTAGTTTTTGGACGGTGTCCAAAAGTTACAGAATTGCTAATTGCCATTATACACTGCATGAATCAACTTCCTTTCTGTGCTCTACAGCCCGCTGATGGCCAAACTAGATTCTGAAAATGCCATTTCCGACGATCTAGAGACTTCAAAGTTTCAAACTTTTTCCGCTCGCCGCCAACCACGCTGGCGCCTCGTGAAACTCCCCATTCCAAGATGTAAACACGTAATAACTCGATCCCGAAATATTTTAAACCCCTCCAAAATATTTTGGAATGTGCGATCCTTACCACAAAATATTTTAACGTCCTCCCCCCAAAAGAAACTCAATCTTCTTCTGAAAAACGGTAGTAGACTAAAGTGCTTGAAAATATCCCTGATTTTATCACGATAATTTTCACAATGTCAATGTTTGAAACTTTATCATTAGTTCATCATCACTTTATCATAAGTTTATAATATTTATTATATAATTACATATTCCATAATTAATTTACAATACATTACAACAAGATAAAACACTACGTATCAAAAGGTATGATGTTTCTAAATGTTAGATTGATACGAGGTCCTCGGCTGTGGTATTCTTTTGGTACACGATGCTGAAATCACAAATACAAAATTTAGTAGGTCAAGGTCTGTTTTAAACGTCGAACGTTTCATTTATCAAATCCTAATGCAAATAGGGATAACAAATAAGGATAATAAACTTCAAACAAAAGGTTTGTTACATTAATATTTACAATATAGATTCATAGGGCTTTCATAGCCTCCTCCGCAGACATCTCTTAATCGTCGAGAACTTATATTTCATACTGTAATCTTTTTAAATGAGTGCGGCTGTGGTGAGAAAGTATAGGCGGTTGTCCTCAATGCAGGAATATTTTTACTAAGTCTAAAGAAATATTTTATGACAGTGTTAGAATTATTTTCATCTTTTTGTACATTTTTGTACAGCTATATATATAAGCTTAGTTACACTATACTTTAAGTTCTTGTCAAAAGAATATAATTATGTATAATTGTTAATGAGCAGAGAAATTTCCAATAAACTTTTCTCCTTCATGGCCTAGTTACTATAGTTAGTTCTTTTTTTAGACAATAGTTAAACTTACAAATCTAATTTGATTAGTTTATTGTTGCTATTCCTTGGCCAATGCTTAAAAGCGAAGTGGATGCACAATATTGTTTAAAGAAAGTTGCCGGCAGTAAACCTCATAACTCCCGCTCCGGCGGCCAACGCCTTGTTTTGAAAGCCCTGGATTCACCATATTAATTAAAGGTTCCACGTCCGAAAGAGGCCTTAAATATTTTACAAACACTGTTATACAGAACATAATTATCAAACTTGGGGGTTCATTGAAGGTGGATCATTGTACTTGTCAGCCTGGATATAAAAAACCTCGACCTTTCGAACAAAGATTCTTCGCTTCAACCTCGTTCCCAAGGGTCTTCCTTCTACGGAGATTTGAGCGTAAAGGAAAGAACCTAGACGCGTTTTCACTGAAAATGCCGAGAAGAGAGTATTTTTCATGCTGATGAGCCCCAACATCCTTGAACAAGCTGAAACTAGTGCTTCGACAGGAAGTTGCCATAGCTAGGCACCAACCTCCAAACGGATGGTCCTCGCTCAAAACGTCGAAGTTCATGCTTTTAATCCTTCTTCAGGTAGTTGAGACTTTAGACACAAACCACGAGTCATATCCTGAAAATGACTAAATATTGGTCCAGTACAATTATTATGAAAAATATTACATTTACCTGCCAATCAGACTGACTTGCCCCAGACATAAGTAACAAACTGCCGGAGGGTAGTGGAATTTTGATGGTTTCCATGTCAGAATAGTCATCTTCCTGCAAGAGCCAAATTATTACAAGCAATCAGTTTTCACAAAAAATCAAAATATGAACATATCTGCAATTTTCTTTGTCGATTTGTATCATTCTCATCAACACTTATCACTCATCCACAATCCGTGATCAGAAACACCAACTTTATAACATCACATCACACTACAGTATTATTACGTAATCAGCTTCAGATATATATTAAAAACATCACACTACAGTATTATTACGTAATCAGCTTCAGATATATACATATTAAAATAAACAATCCAATGATTTTCTTTAGATAAAAAATATTTTATCACCATGACCAAGTATTGCGAATTGCGATCACAAGCATCATTACCTAACCAACACCATCATATCACCATCAGAAAACCATGACCATCAATCTGCCTCATCACCACTACGAGCATTACCAGCTTTATCATGACAAAACAATCGAAACGTGCAAAGCTTTTATACCATAAATTGTTATTTGCACTAAGGCTATATTATTTATTATATACAGCATTGTGTTGCCTTATGTCGTGTTGTATTGTATTGTATTGTATTGTATTGTATTGTATTGTGTAATGTAATGTAAGAACTTTATTTACACAGGGTGACCCAATCAGTGAATGTTCACTGTTATCCTTAGGGGCCCTGAAAAATATACAGTATATCTACAATACAGTTTTATCTAAAATAGTATAAAATTATCTAAAATCCCTACAATAAACTAACTATCTATATGTCCCGATCGACTTAATTAGACTTATTAAAAACCTTGCATCCATAATAATAAAAAGAATTCTTTGCACATTCAGTTCTTACTTTAGGCAAACGAAGTTTGTCTGATTGTCTTGTTATTCGCGAGGAACTGTCACGATTAAAAACGAAATAATTATTAAAAAATTGTGGACATTTCCCTAGAATACATTTTTTAACCAGTTTGAGAACATGTACGTCTCTTCTTGATTCTAAGCTGTCCCATCTGAGGCTTTCCATTGCGTCATCACTTCGCGGGTACCTGGAAATCACTCTGGCAGCACGCTTTTGGAGTATCTCGAGCCTTCCTTTGTTTTGCTCACCACAGCACGTCCAAATACTGTCCCCATACTCCATAAGAGGGCGAATGAACGACTTATAAACCGTTTCCGCCGCATTTAGGGTCAGGTTGTTCCGTAGTCGACGTAACATGCCAATTCTTCTGCCCACTTTCATTGCTACATTATCAACATGTGAATGCCAAGACAAATTTGCATTTAAAGTAATACCAAGGTAACAATAATCAGTTACACGCTTCAATGGAAAGCTATCAATTGAGAGCTCATAATTAGTTACCTTTGATAAGTTTGCATTAGTTCCAAACAACACCGTCTCTGTTTTTTTCCTATTAAGAGACACTTTGTTTTCCATCAGCCAAGCTCTCAAATTTTCCAGCTCGGTTGTTAACACATTCTGTATTACACCACTGTCCCTGTCTGCGAAGAAAAGTACCGTGTCATCGGCATACATCAGAACATTGCATTGTTGAACAGCTGCTGGAAGATCATTAATAAACAGGACGAACAGTAGGGACCCTAAAATAGACCCCTGTGGTACTCCAGACGAAATATTACATGGCAATGATTGCATATTCTGAAAGGTAACTATTTGCGATCGATCGTTAAGGTAACTACTAAACCACTCAAGTTCACTTTCAACTACGCCGTAACTCTCCAACTTGGCCAAAAGTAGGGAGTGGTCTACGGTGTCAAACGCCTTCCTAAGGTCTACAAATATAGCTCCTGTAAGCATCTTTTGGTCAATGTTCCTTCGAATAGAGTCTGTGAGAGAAATAACCGCAGTTTCCGTTGAGTGATATTTACGGAAACCACACTGGTAAGGATTCAAGAGATGATTCGTTGTTAAAAATCTAGTATACAACTGCTCATGGACTGCTTTCTCTAATAGCTTAGACACTGTGGGAAGAACTGAGATCGGTCTGTAGTTGTCCATATTTTCGGGTTGTCCTTTCTTAAAAACAGGAATTACCTTAGCAAGTTTGAAATCATCAGGCACTGTTCCTTGTTCGAGGGATACGTTAATGATCTTTGTGATTGGTCTGGCAATAACATTAGCAGAGTCTTTCAGAAGGCGTGGTGGTATATTATCTAATCCAGCTGCTTTCTTAACATCAATTTTATGCAAATTATTTAGAATAAACTGCTCTTTCACTTCCTCGAATTTAAATACAAAACCACTGTTTAAACGATTGAAAAAAACACTGCGATGTAATATTTCCTATGTTGTTACAAAGATTACTAAACGATTGGTGCAGCCGCGATACTGTTTCAGTAAAGTATACACCAAATGCGTTAGCAATTTGTTGTTTATCTTTACTCAGTTTCCCATCAATCAATCAATACATTAGTCGCCACATGTTTACTCTCCACAGGAAAGACCTTTTTCATAGTTTTCCAAAACGATCGTGGGTTATGACTATTGTCATAAATAAGATTCCTATGATATTTTTCTTTCGCTGAGCGGATTCTGTTTGTTACTTTATTTCTAGTCCTACGGTATGTTGCCCAATCTTCATTTGAATTAGATTTCCTAGCCTTTTTAAGTTCATGGTCACGCTGTCTGATTTCTTTCTTAATCTCGCTGTTTATCCATGCACAAGGGTGATTAGACCTTACTTTCTTATTCATTAACGGTGCATGCCTATCAGCTATTTCAGTAAAGAGTGACTTGAACCGTAACCAAAGTTCATTAACGGATAAGCATGATGTATCTAGGGTATTGTTAAAGACATTGACACAATCCTCGCAAAACTTTGCCGCATCATACTTTGCATAATTTCTTACTGTTCTAATTATCCTTTCTGGTGACCTCTTCCAGTTAATTTTTCTAATACAGTAAACCATCTCATGATCACTCAAACCGGTACACATTACACCAGAGCGGCTTATGTTTTGTGGGAAGTTTGTAGCAATAAGATCCAACAAAGTGTTAGAACTTTTGGTTATACGTGTAGCAGCGTTGATTAATTGGGAGAAATATTGTACTCTTAGGATAGATTTAAGTTGTTTACAATACGATGTAGTTGCCTTGACTGGGAGGAAATCACAGTTGAAATCACCAGTTATGATTACTTCCCTACCTTGTTCGATCGCCAGATCCAACATTGCATCAAACTTAGGCGTAAACTCACAATCGTGATAATCTGAAGAGTCAGGCGGCCTGTAGAACACCCCAACGAGAAAGCCATGAGACTTAGGCAAACTTATCTCAAGCCATAAACCTTCGACATCAACAGTTTCCAAGTCCGTCCTTCTCACCACTGCCAGATCATTTCTTACATATGCCACAATTCCGCCCCCTTTAGAACATCTGTCCTTCCGAAATGTTCGATACCCTGCGATCTCAATTTCTGCGTCCGAGATGTTTTCTGCGAGCCATGTCTCCGATAGGGTTAAGATATGAATACCAGATTTCAATTCTGATATCATTAGTCTTAGTTCGTCCATTTTCCTCAGGAGACTGCAAATATTTTGATGTATTGATGTATTAACTTAATTCCACGGGACTCAACAATATCCTTCAGTTCGTTCAGTATACTGCAGTTATCAATCCTAGGGTCTGTGGAATCAAGAACCGGCGTTTGACAGAGTTTGCAAGTACGTACTCGATCGGCTTCTTCAAAACATTTCAGGTGAAAAAACATTTCACACGATATACATTTCATTCTTGACTGGTTGTTTCTTATCTTTCTTAAGCACGCTGGACACGATAAACATTGAGCCATTGGCGATGGGCCAGGGCAGGAATGTATATCCCCACATATTAAGATCAGCAGATTTATCAGACTTCGGTTCGATGAGCACACACGAAAGTTGAATTTCCCACCTTTTGCTTGCCATAAACTCGATTGAATGTGAGTTTCGATGTCGAAAGATACTTCATTACCAGTAATAGATAACCCCATACTATCAGGGCTCAAGAAAGCACACTTTTTAACACGCAAACTAGCAATAAGTATTAAAACACCAAGAGCAGTTCTCAGCACGACCGCCATTGTTATATGTGTTGTGTTGTGTTGTGTTGTGTTGTGTTGTGTTGTGTTGTATTATACCTACACTGGCACAGACCGTTCTGTAGAAGACATATCGCACCTCTTCAGGTTTTTTTCTCATTTCAAAATTTCGAATTTCTCCAAATGATAATGAACATATCGTAGGATTATTTCCAAGCGATGCCTCGTCATCACTGTGCCAGTCCTGAAGAAATGTGAAAGATATAGAAACCGCAATGAGCGGAATTCATTACAATCGCAATTCATTGTTTCCGTTGAGCTGTTTGGAAAAAATCACTATATAGTGTTTGATGGAGGGAAATTGGCTGAGTGACTGAGTAAATTACACGAACTATTTGTTACCCAAAATGGAGGTTTTCAAATAGCAAACAAAATCCCTATACGGGTTTAAATCATGCCCAAATCATGGTCATCAATTTCGTTACCAGATGAACCAGGATGAGCCCCTTGCGTGTAGGTGTACGTTGAAGATTTGCGCGCTTACGGTCACTGACAACAAAGCAACCTGTGCTCCTGCATGGCTATAGCTCGTATTTATTAAGCCGCGACCAAATAAAATCATTCAATTTTAATCTGGATAAACACATAAATTAAGATAAACATTTATTTACGTTGTACATACCACGCTATCCTTCTCGTTCCTGTAAAGATTCGCCAACATTGAATTAAATGTGAGACCACTTTTCTTGAAAATTCTTTCCCGCAACATATTAAGAAGAGGCGACCACTAAATTAAAAAAATTATCGTTATTGATATATTTCAGAACCATCCTCAGAGATATGATTTTTTTTATTATTTTGACACTGCGGAGTACAAGGCCAAAAAAGAAATACCTTGGTTTCCAATAGTATTTCTTGTTGCAAAAACGTAGGTAGGGTAGCTCATGCATGAGAATGACATTCTACCCAATTACGGCAGCACAGATGGCACAAACATTCGTTAAATCACTTATTATAAATGTTAAACAAACAGGTTAATATACATTATACAGTACAGCTAGCACAAATTTAATGCCACGGACTGGAAACGAAAAATTGCTCCAAGCTCCTTGCAAACTTCAGATAAAAAGATTAGGGTCGGTGATTTCAGTAGCCAAAGCTAGGTAGGGCGTAGAAACAGGAAATCCATGGGGGTTTTTTGCCTAACAAAAATTTCGTTTTCTCGAGCATGCAGGATTCGAACTCGTATCTTCGGGTTTCTAGACCGCCGTTCTTTTTTCATATCTCTGAGGATGGTTCTGAAATAGAATTGAAACACTGCGCGTCCTCCAAGACAAGCGTTAGTCGTCACGAAAATATTTCGTGCACTCCCTGTTGACTCGATAGCTCGATGGGTAGAGCGGCGGTCTAGAATGGGTAGAGATGCGAGTTCGAATCCCACTCGAGAGAAAACGTTTCCAACTATTTCGACTATATTGTTGAAGGGTTTTTGTAGATGGAAATTTTGAGTGTGAATTTTACACATTTATCATACCTAACCAGGAACAGCTGCGAAAAATGCAACTGCAGGTCGATGGCAGGAATCGAACCTGTGGCCCTGCGATCATTCCGGTGCAGTGCTGTAACCAATGGAGCTACAGAGGCCAGCAGTCGAGCTCTAACCACAAGTTCATGAAAATACTACGGTGATGCCAATGTAAGGTGTATATGGGTTAATAATATACATAAAAAATTAAAAATATTACTCGACTGTGATTGGTTGATTTCAGTGCAGTTAATCCCAAACAGCAGTGCAATTTTCTGTAATCACAGTGCAAAAATCTGTAACAAACTGATCTGATTGGTGGAAAAACAATGTGATGATAAAATCAACCAATCAGTTTAAAGCAGTTTAGTTTAAAGAAGTAATGGTCACAGATTGAAACAAAACAAAACAAAACAAAACAAAACAAAACAAAACAAAACAAAACAAAACAAACACGGTGCCGCGCTACTTCGCGCTACATAAAGTGAAAGTTGACTTCGGTTGGAAAATATGGCTTTTATCTTTTTTTTTAAAATGGAAAAAAGCCTTTACCTTAAACAAGACTAACAAAACTTAATACATAGTGAGTGGAATTTTCAAGCGTTAGCCTTATATAATTAATATAACAAAGCCAGGAAAACTGTGCCAGTGGAATGTTCGCTATAAAAGTCAGTTAAAACTACAATTGTCTCGAACATTTTTATGTAAATTTTAATAAGTAATAGCATGGCTTCTCTTGAAATTTGGATAAACATGCACTCGTGAGTTTTTCAATGATTTCAAATAGCACTCGTCCTTCGGACTCGTGCTATTTTGAGGTCTTTGAAAAACCCACTCGTGCATGTTATATCCAAATTGCACTCAAAACCATGCTATTGCCTATACAAATATCAGGATTGGGTATCTACACTCGATGTAACTAATTGTTGAAATGACTTGCAGATGGATATTGCGAGTGTGAATTTTGTACATTTATTAGACTTAACCAGGAACAGTTGCGAAAAATGCAACTACAGGTCCTTCGGCAAGAATAGAACCTGCGATTCCAGTGCATCTACAAAGCCATCCATTCCTGCCATTCCAGTTCCATCTACAAAGCCCTTCTACAAATTAGTTACACTGTAACTTATATCGAGTGTAGATGCCCAAAATACTGCTGATATTTAGTTCAACAATATACTGTCGTGCTAACCTGGAATGGTTTGAGTGTAAGTCCTGAATATTGATAAGGAAAATCACCAAACCATGCAGTAAGACGAGGTTGACGATGATATTGACCTGCAAGAAACACGGATTTCTTTAAAAGGTTTTCATAGTGAGCACAAGTTGCACCCACATTTCTCACTGGCGTTCAACGTTAAGAGAGAATAATTGTTAGCTTTACGTTCCCAATTAATAAGAAATTAATTAATTATATTAGTTATGAATGCTAGTTCATTAATCAGTATTTCTTAATATTAGATTAATTCCGTATTGGTCGCCCCTTAAAAATAGATGAGCCGATAACGAAAATATCGGTATACGTAGTTATCGTTTCTGGCCAAGAATTTAGGGCAGAACATATTACACCTTACACATACGAACAAATTTTCGTTGTCCAGTTTTCTTCATGAATTCACAATCAGATAATGAGTGGGTTACGCATGTTTACCTTGAACCTTGATGTTTTTTTCTTGCCAAGGTATCTGACTTTTCAGGTCCTCAAACATCCATTTCGTTTCTTCCACAGAAACGAAAGTGGGATCAAGTTCTATCCTACGTAAACAAAAGTAGAAAAGAGATTATACAGTAGATTCAGTAATGGAATGAAAGAAGTCGAAAGTGAGAGAGTCAAATTTAACTCTCACTCTTCAAACTAAGGAAGTTCGTTTATTGGGAGAATTTAGATTAAAAGAGGTCATCGAAAACTCCAACACAAAACGATTACGATTGACATTTCTATAGCGCAAATTTGCATGTAGATATGATCAAATGCGCTTTACATCAAGTGTTACGCTTACCTAATTACATACTTAGTCCAGACTATTTTATCTTTACAACAATTGTGATATTGCTTTTTTAACTGTGTATATTCTAACCCCCGCCATGTTAACTTTTCCTGTGGGAACAAACTGGAGCACCCGGAGAAGATCCACGACTTTCGACAGAGCGTTGACTGATTCTTCGCATGAGTCTGTAGTGAGAATCCAACCCACGAACTCAGAGGTGAAAGGCGCTTGCTCTGAAGACTGCGCCACCGAAGACTCTACAATAAACTTTATTTAAACACGGTAAAATCTTCAATATATATATAGATATCATACAGCAACAAGAACAAAATCTGAAAACTACCACAGGTTTATAAGACTGTCGTGTGAGAGTTCGCTTAAATTACTGTTATTAATAATACTCATCTACAGTATAGCTTTCTTAAACTGTGATAACGATTGAAGCTTTCGTATATCTTGAGGAACACTATTCCACATAATAATATCATCAACGAATTTCCAAATGCCAGATTTCCCTGACCTGCATTGTAAATCATTGACCATAATTAAGAACAGGATCGGACCCAACTTCGTTCCTTGGGGGACACCGGCTTTGACAGGAAGCCAACTAGAAGTAGCTTCGCCAAGTTTGACGCACTGTCTTCGCCCTGATACGAAGTTTACAATCCATGGAATTAAAGATCTCCTAACTCCGATGTCGACAAGTTTTTGAATGAGAATATTATGGCCAATACGATCGAAAGCCTTAGAAAAATCCAAAAAGCACATGCGAAGGTAATGACCAGGGGAATCCAAATGGGAGAGCCAAGAATGCAACATATCAAGCAGGCAATAGGTGGTGGATGAACCCTTTAAAGAACCGAACTGTTATGGGTCGATATTATTGCTGACGTCAGAGATAATCCATTGAACGACGAAATCTTCGAGAACTTTAGAAAGGCATGCCGTTAGTGATATAGGTTTTGTATCAGCCTCGTCAGTAGGTTGGTTGATTTTTGGAATGGGGGTAATATATGAGTCTTTCCATATATTTGGAACAATCCCAGATGAAAGTGACGTATTGAAATGTTCGCAACTGGTTCAGCGAACAGGTGAGCAAATTCCTTCAAGAGGCGACCTGGAATATTATCAGGACCACATGTTTTAGAGGAGTTGACGGCCAAGAGTTTCTCACAGATTTCGTATGGTTCAATATGGATCAACAGCGGGTAAATATGTTGGTAACGTGGTCATGTCTAGTGATGGAATGTCCGCATTAACAGAGAAGTAAAACTTTTTCAAGCTGTTGGCCAGTTCCAAATCCGATAATAATTTACCATCCTTTTGAAAGGCAAGCTTTGTATTCTTCTGAGATCGGCAGGACACCTTATTTACGACCGGCCACCACTTTCTTAAGATGTTGTATTTTATTTATGTAATATTCTTTCTTTCTTGAGGCTACAGTATTTCGGTCTGGACCTTATATTTTAATGTCCTCCACTGGAGTACATCTCCACTATGGAAAGCTTTTTGACGGTCATTAATAAGTTTTTGATAGACACAGACATCCATGGTTTATCAGAATGGCAAAACCTTACGGACTTCGGGGGAATAAGACTGTCGAATGCTGTAGATACCTGGGATGAAAAGAAGTTAGCAAGATCATCTACGGAAGGACTTGGACCAAGATCATTGAACCATTGATGCGCACTGGCCCAACGGCCAAAACCATTCATGCCGGATAGGGGCGTATAAACTATAAAACGCTTAATCGGTTTAGGGTGTTGTTTGCCAATAGTATGTTTTTGTTTTTTTTGTGTTTTTTTTGTTTCAAGAACATTATTATAAATTATTATTATTATTAATTTTTTTTTGCCCACAAAATATATACAAGTAGTAAAAAAATAATTACAGTAGTATAATGGGCTAGGGACCTTTGGAAATCCTGTTGGACTTCTATAGTAAGGCCCCTAGTTTTAGTATTCTAGTGATAAAAGACTATGAAAGAAGAAATAATTATATACAAGCAGAAACTATTTACAACAAATTGAAAGATGAAAAAATACTAAGAAATAAAATAGTACATTACTATCATTAGTGTTCCTAAGGCTATTGCTAAGGTTTTTATAATTTATTTACATTAATTAGATAATAAGTAAAGGGATTTTGCTTTTCTCTTAAAAGAAAAATAAGTTTTACTATTTTTAATTTCGTCATCAAGAAAATTCCATAAAGAAATTCCTTTGTTAAATACAGTATATATACGGTAGTTTGTTCTTTTATAACTCACATGTAACTTGGTAGAATTTCGCGTATTATAGTTGTGTACATCGTTATTTTGTTTGAAGTACATAATCATTATAAAAGTCCGGCAAATTTTGACAATAGTAGCGAGGATACATGAATAAACTACATAAATAATCATTGATTTGGTAGATGTTCAAGATTTTCAAATCTAAAAATAGTGGTTTTGAATGTTCCATATAGGATTTAAAACTAATTAGTCGAACAATTTTCTTTTGCACATTCAGTAACTTTTGAAGCCTGGTTGGGTACGTATTTCCCCAAACTAGATTTCCGTACGTGAGGTATGGATAGACTAAAGCATATTGTACCAATTTCAAACTGTTTTTGTTAGTAAAATGTCTTAATTTTGCAATCAAACCCGCGGATTTTATTACATTTTTCTGAACTGAGCTAATGTGGTTCTTCCATGAAAATTCGTGGTCAATTAATACGCCCAAAAACTTTACATAAATGCTTGTTTAATAATATTGTTATTTATTTTGAGAGTAATTTCTTGATTCAATGGTTTATTTCTTGATTTAAAAATGATAAATTTTGTTTTGGATGGGTTGATTGATAATTTATTGGCATTTAGCCATGCCACTATTTTATTCATTTCCTTTTGTATAATGTCAGCTAATGTTTTTAAACATGAATTTGAACAAAGAGCATTTGTATCATCAGCATATAAAACAAAAGAAAGGATGTTACTACAATTTTCAATATCATTTATGTATATTAGAAATAAGAGTGGTCCAAGTATTGAACCCTGTGGGACTCCAGTCGTAACATTCATTTCATTTGACCTATGTTGCTTATATTTGACAATTTGGCTTCTTTCCTGTAAATAATTTGTAAACCACTGTAGACATATTCCTCTAATTCCGTAGTGTTCAAGTTTTTTTATTAGAATTTCGTGATTCACTGTGTCAAAGGCTTTAGAAAGATCAAGGAAAATACCTATTGTATATAGACCTTCGTCCATTGCCTTCGAAATCTTATCGGTTAGCTCAAGAATGGCATGTTCAGTTGATTTATTCCTTCTAAAACCAAATTGATGTTCTGAAAGTATTTGATGTTTCTCAACATAGTTATATAGTCGTTTGTGCATAAGTTTTTCAAGTAATTTAGAAAAGCAAGTTAAAACCGATATAGGTCTATAATTTTCAAAAAGATTATTTTCATTAGCTTTATAAATAGGACTAACTATAGCTAGTTTCAAAAAGTTTGGTATTTTTCCAGTTTGAAACGATAAATTATAAATATATGTTAGAGGCTTGATTATATTTTCACTAATCTTTTTTATCATTTTCGCACTTACTTCATCATGTCCTGCACTTTTATTTTCATTTAAGTTATTAATTTCAATTTGCAATTCATATTCTGTCACAGGTTCAATAAACATACTTTCAACATAATTACCATTAAGGTAGCTTTCGTATGTTATGTTATCATTTCCTGGAATTTTTTTTGCTAGTTGAGGGCCTATATTTACGAAATATTCGTTAAATTTGTTAGCAATTTCCTGAGGATTCGTAACATTGTTATTTGAACTCTTTTGTAAAAAAGTATCAGGTAGATTTTTTCTTGTTTTATTTCTGTTAAGAACTTCATTGATAGTTTGCCATTTTTTTTTGTATCATTTTCGTACTTAACAAATTGTTTTTCATAATAGGTCTTTTTTGCGGTTTTTATTACGTGATTCAGTTTGTTTTTGTATTTTTTATAGTCTGTCTCATTTTTGTGAGTTGGATTTTTAAGAAATTTTTTATAAAGTTTATTTTTCTTTGATATGGACTTAAATATACCATTTGTCATCCAGGGACTTTTTGTGTGGTTTACAAATTTGTCTTTTATTTTTACTAAGGGAAAACTTTTATCAATTGCTATCTTCAAATTATTATGAAAATTCGTATGGGATTCACATGGGTCATTGGCTTTGAAAGTACTTTCCCATGATATATTTTCACAGATGCTAGAAACAAGTCAAGATTATTTTCGTTTATTATTCGTTTGAAATGTGAATTTCCCGTTTTGGGGTCCTTATTGTTTGAGGATAAACAAGCTATATGAAATATTGGGAGATGATCTGAAATATCTGAGAAGATTAATCCGTTTACGCTTGAATCTATATGTTCAAGATCGTTTATAAAGATGTTATCAATTAAAGTAGCTGTGTACTGGGTAATTCTAGTTGGTCTATTTATAAGTGGAAAAAACGATGAGGTAAAAAGTTGCTCACAAAATCTACTAGAATATTCACAATCATCAGATTTCAAAAGATCAATGTTAAAATCCCCTATCAAATATGTTATTTTCCTTGTTTTGTCAACTTCCGTTAGTATTGTATTTAGTTTATTTTCAAACATTTCAAAATTACCACTTGGCGGTCTACAGATAGTACCAACGATAATATTTTTACCAGTTGTTCAAATAATTTCAATGAAAAGCGTTTCAATTATTCCATCCTTGTTTACATTCAGGTCAGTTCGTAGTTTGTAGTTTAAACTATTTGAAATAAAAAATCCTACTCCGCCGCCTTTTCTATTTTCCCTGTTAGAACAAATAAAATCAAAATTACTAAGATTGAAATTTTCACTATTTTTGTCATTAAGCCAAGTTTCAG